GAGGGCTGGACGATGTGCTCAGGGCTTCACACCCCGCGCCACCAGAGGGTCATCACCTGGGGTCTGTGAGGGAGCTGTGGACAGGGGCTTTTTACAAATATTAGCCCCTTTCAGAAATTACTACATCAAAAGAGTTAATATAACGTAAGTTTTACTGTCTGAACGATACTTTTCATCACTTGACTATTAAGAGAGTATTTTTGTCTGAATGTTTTCTTCTTTTTTTAAAAGTTACTTGTGAAGAAAGTTTACAGAGGTTTTGGGTTTACATTCATTCATGGCTGCACTTTTCTCCCTGCCCACCCCCTCCCCCAATTCACTCTTCTTGAAAAGAAAAATTCTTTCATCATTGTGCTATCCCTCCCCCCAAGTCCACTGCACTACACAGCCTTCACTCTAGACTTCTGTAATGATAATATGCATTCATATATCCTTTTAAAACCGTTCTCTCCCTCATCTGTTCCAATACAAGAGATATCATTCTTCCCCTCTTCTGTCTTTCCTCAACCATGATGTCAGTCCCGTTTTATAACAGTGGCACTACTATGCAGTATTTGGCCTTTTGTGACTGAGATACTTCACTCAGCATAATGTCCTCCGGGGTCACCCATTTTTAATAATATTGTATGAGTTCCTTCTTTTTCAGTGCTGCATAATATTCCATTGTGTGAATATTCCACAGCTTCCCTCTCCATTCGTTTATTGATGGGCACTTGGGTTGTTTCCAGCTCTTTGCTATTGTGAACAAGGCTACACTAAATATGTGTGTGCATATATCTGCTTGGATTCCAGTTATGGTTTCCTTTGGGTAAATTCCCAGTAGTGGAATTGCTGGGTCAAATCATATTTCTTTTTGCAGCTTTTTGAGAAGGCACCATACAGCCTTACATAATGTTTACACCATTTTACATACTCACCAACAATGAATAAGGGGTTCCAGTTTCTCCACAAACTCACTAGCATTTGACCTTAGTCTGTTAAATTTTGCTATTCTTACAGGGGTGCGTACTTTATAAATTCTAGATATAAGTTCCTTGTCAGACATGTCATTACCAGATATTTTTTTCCCAATCTGTGGCTTCCCTTTTCTGTCTGTTAGAGATGTTTTGGGATGTGCATAGGGATTTAATTATTAGAAGGTCCCATTCATCTATTTTATCCTCTCTTGGTTTTAGATAAGAGAGTGTTGTTGTTGTTGTTGTTGTTAATGTGCTGTCGAGTTGTTTGCGAGGCATTTGGTAGAAGTGAAGGGGTATCCTGGTGGAGGGTGGAGCTAGGAAATAAGTGGGTCAAGGCACTGGGCTAAGGGGCAGGGACTACACTGTAACTAACGGTTAACTCCACACTGAGGGATTTATCTTTCACTGCTCCACAAATTGCTGTCTGTCAGATACTCCTAAACATTCAGATTAAGACAGACTAGGAAAAAGGATTGGCCATCCACTTCTGAAATAGCAGGCCTCTGAAAACCCTATGTAAGATAAGAGATAGTGTTTTAAATTTATCACAGTTCTTTCACATAAATTGGCTCCTGTCTCAGTTCTCTGCTTCATCATGAGAGTTGCTTTTTGGGAATTGCTTTTCAAAAACAAGATTAAAATTTTGATTGTCGGATCTCTTTGCCTTTATTTTTTGATTACGTACTATAGTACAATGAAATGTGCAAGGAGTTGGAGTCAGAAAATCAAAAGGGCCGAACCCGCTTAGCATTTCTTAAGCTCAAGGAACTGAAGAACAAATTCAAACCTCAAGTTGCTATAATCAAGAAAGCTTTAGGCAGAATATTAAATGTTTGGGGAATTATTAAAAGAAGATGGAAAGAATATACTTAATCACTGTTATCAAAAGGAATTGGCAGACACAGAAGAATTTCATCAAACAACATATGTGCATGAGCTTATGGTGATGAAAGTAGTAGTTCAGGCTGCTTTGAAGGAAATGGCAAAAAATAAGGCTCCAGAAATAGATGGTATACCAATTGACATATTTCATTTAACAGATGCTGCCCTGGACGTGCTCACCAAGTTGTGCCAAGAAATCTGGAGAACAACGACTTGGCCAACTGACTGGAAGAGATCTATATTTGTTCC